TGCTCGTTATATGCTAAAACCACATAATCCGGAGCCATTCGTCTCAAAAATATAAATTGACAGCGCTAGAGAGCAATTTCGGTGGTCTTTACCAGATCGCCAAGGTCTTTACCAGATATGGCCAGAGGTGTATGACGTCAGCAAGAAAAAGCCTAGATTTCAAGTTAACGGGAACGGATTCGCCTAACAGATTGGTCTTTTTTTTAAATTGTGTTCAAGATTGTCCGCAAGCAGTAGGTATGTTGGGACGACACGGGCAGATGAGCGCGAATCGTCGTAAAGCTCTTCAGAATGCTTGCTTCTGATTGACTAATATTCTTAGACGTTTCAAGCTGGAGAACTCAATAAGGCTTTCCTCATACATTTTGCGTGTTTTTGTTTGCTGGTTGTCAAGGCAAACAAACAAAAACCAAGATACCGATAAGAAACCAAAAACCCTTTTGCGCGTTTGTTTTTATTCTTCCAGTAGCTTTGCTGTCAAGCAAAGCCGTTCAACCGAAGCCGTTGTTGATGAAGCAAAGCTGTTTTCAAGTGAAATTGTAAGTTACCAGTGAGTATTCGCAATGCTGTGATTTTTTTTAAAAAGTCAATTGACTGAAAGGGATCCAAATTAATAAAGCACCAGTTCAGGCTAGGTCATTTTGTCAGCAAAGGAAAGCAAAGCAAAGCAAAGCAAAGCAAGCAGGCCGGCAGGCAGGCAGGCACGGCACGGCACGGCACGGCACGGCACGGCACGGCACGGCACGGCACGGCACGGCACGGCACGGCACGGCCTTGCTTTGCTGACAAACTGCCTGCCTGCCTGCCTGCCTTGCTTTGCTGACAAAATGACCTAGACCTGAACATGTGGTATGTGCAGTATTTTTATATATATATACCGGGTGGCCCAGAAAAAACGTTCCCAACTTTAAATCAATATTCCTCAGAAGGTGATAAAGATACAACATTGAAACTTCGAATAGTCAATGCGGCACATATTTTCAGCAAATGGTGTGATTTTCATGGTGTTCGGTAAATTACTTTTTAAACGGTTCGTGTTTCAAGCATGCCATGTAAAAATTAATTTTTTGTTCCGATGTTTACTAAAAAATGTGAGTGAACGGGTCACTTTCACCCCGCGGCACCGCGGCCTAGAGCCATGACTTCTACTGGCAGCTAGTCTCATTGATGGTTCGGGTCTCAGGATGATACATTCCCTCAGGCAACCACGATGGCTGTATGCCAGCGGCATCGGAAGAAGTTTCCAGTTTTCTAACCATCTTGTGGCTCAAATGCTTTCCTGGTTGACATTCCTGGGAAAAGGTAGCTTTAAAACCAGTTTTTTTTTGTCATCTGCTGGCAATGTTGTTTCTCATAAGCTATTCTGTGGTCTTCTGGCACAGGAACCAGTCTGCTTTAGTTTGTTTTCCTTATCCGGTCGATTTACTGTTTGATCTACTGAAAGGACTAAGGAGGGTAATCAGCAGTAATCCATGCACCGTGCCACTCCTGCTCGAAACATGATTTGGTGTTGAAACGAATGGCATCCATGAGCACCATTTTGGTTCAGTATTTGAATATTTGGCACATAAGTGAGACAAACACATTTAAAATAAGAACATACGTGTTGGTTTCATTCACGTGCTCTATTTTCTATTCTTTTTTATAACATGGGACGTCTAACCCAATCATCACTATCGTTTGACATCGGCAAAAAAAGCAAAAACGTCTTGCTTAATTCAACTCAAGGTTGCCAGCTTGAAAATGACGGTATAGTGTTATAATTTGGCACACCAATGCGCAAAGAAATGACGCAAACTTGATGAAAATTTTGGCTCGTTATTTGCACTCGAATTTGATATATAGGCCTCCAAAGTTCGGAACGTTTTTTCTGGGCCACCCGGTATATATATATATATATCACTGCCTTTGAAATGGAAATTCTCATTGCACAGTCTTTTATATGCATCTATGTTGGATTTTTCACAGTTGGTTCTCACGTCTGGACCCGCGATGACTTGGAACGTCTGGACGTCAGACATGGGCCGCCGCGCGTCTGTCTGGCGGAACTCACCTGTCTGCCGGCGGCGGAGGTCACCGCGGGCCGGTCTGTTGGAGCCTGGAGGTCACCGCGCACCTGTCTGCCGGGGATCACTGCGTGCCAGTCTGCTGCGACCTGCTGGCTGTTGGTCTACACTCGGTGGAGAGTAGTTAATTTTAGTAAATTGTAGTAAATCCTAGTAAATTGGAAGAAACTTGATTAGTTGTAGGCCTGCTGAATATATCTATCGTTCTGCCAAGTAGCAAAATGATCTTGCTGCAACTGCTTACCTCAGCAGCTGTTGTGTTCAGTGTTTATCCTGATGTACAGAAAGAATGTGTGCAACTGTTGTAACCACGTGGACCGAACAGTGATCTGGCCTAGGTTAGGATTGACAGTGATTTGGGAATCTAACCTTGGGAAAAGAATATAAATGATGGTGCTTTGGAAGTGTTATGGAGAAGCGTCCCTGAAGTTGTGTCAGTCGTTATCAATGCCAGATGGCCAAAACCAAGACTATATAGGGTGAATAGGTCAAAAACGCCCCCCTTAAGCGCGAAACCTTCTGACACTCAACCCAACACAGATTACTCAAACCTTTTGGCACCATCATGTAGCTCATTCTTTTTACTACGCTTTGAGACCAAGAAAAGACACCTGCGTGTGGTATTTAACCCCCCTAAAGGGTTTTCGCATACCCTTACAAAAGGGCGTTTCGCCCCACACCCTGGGTAATACGCCCACACCCATGTGCAAAGCGCCCCCACCCCATCCATCAACAGAACATGATGAACATGGCAGAACTTGACGTCATTCTGACGTCATTTGTGGTCAACCTATCATAGCCTTTGGAATAAAATTTTGTTGCAATGTGTACCTAAAATGGATGCCCGGAGGAGTCCTGAAAGTTTGGTGACGATATCTGCAGTCGTTTAGGATATATCAGCAAAAAAGGGCAGGGAGAGGCCTTTTCGGCCCCGACCTACAGGGAGCTACCCTGCACTCTCACCACCGTGCAAAACGCCCCCCTTTCAGAAAACTGGGGGCGTCTTGCCCCATGCATCGAGTAGGCGTCTTTCCCCATCCACTCCATTTTCGGTCAACAAAATATTGACAAAAAACGCGCCACTAACGCCGCAGCATAATAAATTCAACAGAATGACAATAAAACGTATTTTTGAGTGATGTGCACAATAGCAAGTTTTGTGATATAGAGAGGGCATCAAAATATTAGGAATAAACAAAAACAGCACCCAAAACCAACATCGGCACCTACCCACGCTGCTCCTCAAGACGCAGAACCGGAAATAGAGACCTACGTAAGCAAGCAGCTGACTTTTCTGAAAGACAGGATAAAACCCCTATCCGTCGATAAGAAATACGATTTTTTTAGGGGAGGCGTTTAACCCAGGGGTGCGTTTTCCCCACAGTTACCCTACACCGCGAAAACACTCAGTATTATCACAAAAATGTATTTAAAAACATTCAAAGGTTGGTTACACACCAGTTCTTCAGGCAACACCACTCAAACACAGACTGCTGATGCCAACACCATTTGTCAATTCGGCTCAATGTCAGCCATCAGCGCTCTACAACACATCAGGTGTTCAAACTTCAACGACAAGGTTTGTGACACTTTTAGGTACAAGTTGTGCTACCATCACATTTGATAAAATGAAATCAGATGATCAAATGAATTTTGCCATGCATGGCTTGAATTATTTATGAGGTTCAGCACTTGGTAGGTAGGTACTTCAAATTATTATATATTTGAATTTGATTCACCACTGTTCCATCCAATATTCTTCATGGCTATATCACTTTGAAGTTTCATTACCAAAGCCTTTTTGAGGCACAAGTAGGACCAACTTTGGTTCGTTTCAAAAATAAAATAAAAATAAAATTGCTTGAAAAATGTTTCGTCAAAAAAAATGCACACAAATAGCCATAAACGCTTGCGTAATAATCGAAACTTGCGCGCAATGTCTGTAGCACATTGATTCACCATAACTTGTAGCGAATTGTAGTTCGCTACTTTCACACCAGGTGGCTTTGTGTCGTGTATGACGTCACATCCATAAATTACGTCATCGTTTTAAAAACAGTTTTTCATCATTTTCATCAAAATTCGGCCAATTAATGGCATGTAGCCACCCATTTAGGTATTATCGACCATTTTCAAGTGTTTTGGAACCATCCACTCAAATTTTTCAAGGTGAACATATCCCTTTAAAGGTAGTGTGCCAGCTTTCCTGGACCATATGGAGTTAATGACCCGGATAAGGAGAACCGGATTTTTAGAACTTATCCATACCTTCAAAACTCATGGAAACGTCTTAAATTCTTCAAATTTTGAGCACCCCAGTGCGAAATTCGCCCCGACGGGTTGTCGGTCGTACCCCAACCACATTTCACACCACTATGAACAATAAATGCACACACTAAAATCGCTATTACCTATAGGCTCATCCAATCAAGTTTCGATAAACCCGTTCATCATCATCTCCTGCGGTTTCGAACACGCCTGTTAGGTGACTTCTGCTCATACTTTGTGGTGCGGTGGTGGTGCGTCGGGCCGCGCGCTCTGACTTCGGCCAAGAAAAATGCGTCAGCTGATCATTGTCATTTCTGCCACTTTCGTGTGGTGAGATGGGGTCATAACTTAAGAGACGGCTGTTTCATATCAATTATTTTACATAAAATCATATTTCAAACCATAACTTAATGTTCAACAGCCAAATTAAAGAAACAATACCAATACAGGCTTACAGTTTAAGTTCGACATTGTGTTGTCTACGATTAGACAGCTGATAACTCATTCCCGTACGTCGTAACTCTGTAATGACCTTTGCTTATTGTCACATGTGCGCCGCATTCACGATTGTTGCCGACGCCTGTTTGCAAGTCAGCCCACTACAGTTGTTATACATATCGAAAAACCGATACACTTTTAGGCGAAAAAAGCACTATTCCAGGCCCATTTTTGATTTTTTTTTTTGCAATATTAGGCAAAAACAGAAGCTTCTTATCCTAGGAAAAATAGAATGGGAAATCATTGGAAGGTGGCACACTCCCTTTAAGCTTTGGACGACTACCTATGGATCGGCACGCTGCCGGCTCACCCCACCCGCTGGCTACGGGTGGCCTTGACCGTTCAATGCCGATTGGCCAACGGCCGAGGTCGTGCGCTGGTCAGCACGCGGAGAGGACGGGACGCGGTACTGCACATTAGCCCGGTTTCCATGGGCACCTGTGATCCGAATCAGCAAAAGTGGATTAGCTAATCCATTATAGTTAGCCAATATATGAAAATAAGAATATAGAATAACTGATAAGCCTAATCCACTCTGAATTATAACCTGCAACGAAAAGTTCGAGAAATATTATACGATTTAAATTTGCTGATCCGGATCATGATTGCCCATGGAAACGTTGTTATTGTGAGTGACCTCTAACCTTTCCCCGTCCCCTGACCGCGTGCCGTGTCGCCGGCCCAGACGATAGAAACTGGTTTTAGCCTCTACGCAGGCTGCCACTCTAACCCTCCCCTCCCCACTTTACTATGTGCCGTAGTATGCGCTCGCGAGTAACTGGGCGGAGCAAATGGTCACCGATACAGAGGCGGAACTGGTTGCCCTCCCGCTCGCCGAGCGACCTACCGCTAAAACCGCGAGACCTGTACAGTTGCCATGGCTGGCAACCAAGCTTGTATGCATACCACGCAAAATCGCACGTCTGTTATAGCTGACCACGCAATCTCGCCATCTCGCAAAAGTCAACGGGAAAAACGCATAGTGGAACCTGGGCTACAGACTTCCACCCAACAAGAGTTTTTGTGGATTTTTTTTTTGCTTTGTATTCTATGGCTTCACACATGCCAGGAACCAATAAAATCGATGAGTGACAATGATTAAAAATAATTCGAATTAATCGCCATCGTATTCATTACGGAACGTAACGGTCATTACGGATCTGGTGTGAACCACGCATTAGACGAAACACCCTGGCGAGTATGAGCCCCTTGTGACAAGTAAATAAGCAACTACAAGCAAACCAAAATATCACACCGGAGCTCACATATAAATCACTGCGCGCTCCTAACTGAGACACTCCATGGAGAGACTGAGCAGCTGGTGAGCGGCTCAGCTGAGCAGCTGGTGAGCGGCCAGTGGCGCGCCGCCCCGCTCGATGCCGTGGATCCGGCTGAGGTGCGTCCACAGTGAGCTGGTGGTGGCGGAGGCGCCTCGCTGCAGCATCCGTCCGCAGTAGCGGCACTGAGCGCGATCCGACCAGCGCACAAAGTGCGCCCAGATCAGCGAACTGTTGCGCCGCGGCGCTGACGCAGCCAGCGATGGCAGAGACGCAGACGGCGACAGCGGAGAGGCGAGCAGCGGCGGCGGCGGCGGCGGCGGGGAGCTCTCCATTAAACCGGCAAACAGCTCATCTGAAACACCGCACAGTGGGCATGTTTCCAATCTAGCATGACTTAACACTCGCACTGGCAGGATATTGTTTATAACGTGGCCTGGCAGCGGGGGGGGGGGGAGGGGGGTCGATGCGACCCCCTGGCGTTTCGAAACTAAGCATCATAGCGTTTCACAACAAAAACCAGCCGGTTGCTTTCAACGAGTACTCGCGATTGGTGGTATATTTTTAACCATAGGTCAATATTTGACCCAGTTATGGCAGGTCAAAGGTCAAACTTCGGGGAAAGGCTATAATTTCCAAGCTACTTAGCCAATATTTGCGAATCTATTAAAGATAGCGACATGACACCTCACTATTTCTCAACGAACTAGCAACAAAATGATGTATAGTTGACTGCATTTCAGTCACTACTAGCGTGAGGTAGTCCCCGGGAACACGGAAGGTCACACCCGCCGCCGGCGAGGATGGTTTTAATTGACCTGGGCTGACTTTGTAAAGGTCATGAAACAGTTTTGAAGGCATTTATGTGAAAATTGAACCACAGCTTCGGATTCAGGACCTCAAGAAACCCCCATTAAACACAGCTCATATCGCGGAGGTCAGCGTGTGAACATTCGAGGTCATTGACTTGGTTGACCTTAGAAAGGTCAATATACGATGTAAAGATTCATGCCCTGTCAAAATCTGACATAAATCACACGGAATAGTTTGGTCCTTGTCGATGAGATCACGTCCAGTTACGCAGCATGTATTATTGCTTCCAAATTAAGCTTGATCCTCACTTCGCTCCAGTACTGTAGTGAATACCCTACCGAAGACCGAGTTTTACCGAGATACCCGGCTCGGCGAGCCGTGCGATAGACCAGAGGTTTGACATCCGGGGCCGTGTGTCATCCGGGAGTTTCAAACGCGCGGGTAGGGATGCGGACGTGACCTGTGGTCGGTCAGCGTTCGGCGATTTTGGCCTCGGGCGCCTCTGACGTCATAGGCATGACCCGGCGCTCGGGCGCAGCGCCGGGCGAGAGACGGGCCGCAACCGTGGTGCAGCTGGACGCGCGATCGGAACGGAATTCAGCCAGGACCCGCATCGTAGGTCAAAGGTCAAGGGCACATATGGCGGGCGGGCGAGACCAGCGGCCGAGAAAGAAGTCGCTGTGAAGCGAGGGCAGTGATCCGACCCCGGCCCGGGCTTGACCGGTGTCTGAGAATGTTTTTTGCTCTACTGCGGGGTGATTTGACTGCGTTAGTTTTAATATTGCGTGTAATAATCATAAGCACAGTATGATTTAAAACAATAATGTCAGTATAATCTGAACATATATTATAAATATTTATCAGATAATTATCAACCCGCGCCAAGCAGGTGCTTGCGCCAACCACCTCCCCTCCCCTCCCCCCACTAACTCGGTTCCTGTGCCACGTATGCGACACGTGGTTAGCGGCATTCGAGCTCGGAAATCTAAAAAAAACTATTGTTTGCTTGCTTCGTGCAATTGGAAAAAAAAAAATAATGTATGAGAAGGCACTCTCCTCGGCCAGCGACGTCTAGGACGTAAATTGATTCCCTGCTTCTGAGAATGTGAAAAGGTTTAGCGTAAGTCCGTGTAGCACTCAAGTTGCCAAGCGTGCCAAATATTTTCTCACCCGTAACACTCCCATCCAGCGCTCCCCACCCGATCATCGGCCTGACCACTGCAGCACGGTGGCGCACTCATCATCCCTGATTGGATAGAATGTGACCCAGCTATGCTTCACGCTCACGTGCCCGCCATTATCACAGGTCACACCCGTGTCCCTGCCCCAGGCGCGGACTGACAGTCACAAGGTCCACGCACTGCTTCAGTCTTACACGCACCTCACCGGGACAGCTACCCTGGCGATACTGGAGGGGTTCGGGAGGGTATTCAATGCAGTACTAGAGCCAGGCGCGAATCAAGCTTAATTTGGAAACAATAGTACGATTTTGTCCAAAACGGTCGGAGGATGTAGGAACTTATTATGGCGTCATTGCACGGTGACCTGAAATGACTCGAAAACATCTTTTACCAAAAGTTGCGCAAAGGATGCCCCAGAAGCAGTGGCGCAGCCAGGGGGGATGAAAGGGGTGAGCTCTCACCCCGTCTGTTATCCTAGAGGCACATCGTCAATTCGAACTGTAACGTTATGCACAGTGGCGCAGCCAGAACTCTGGCGACGGGGGTGAGAGACGTTCGCGATGGGCCCCCCAGCAAAGTGGGCCACCCTCAACCAATGTTGGCCCCTTACCAACAACGAAAACGGTCGCTGTTTTGCCGAGTATTTTTGGAAAATCACAAAACCATTTGAACAGTAATTGAATATGAATTTCTCATTTTAAACTTTGTTAACACTCTGATCTGTGCATGTGGTCAGGTCAGATCTTTGTCCTCATCATTACCAGCCAAATCGGGGAAAATGACAAATATCTCTTGATCTGAAGAGGCACGTCAAAAACAACAGCATATTTACAGAAACACGACCATTCTGCCCATATTTGATGGACAGCGTGCAATTGATGGCCAGCGGCCACTCAAAGGGTCGGGCTAGGTCAAAAAGCTTTTAAAAAGGCTCAACATCAGTTTTTCGACTATTACTTTTGATATAAGAGACGAGGTAGAGTAATGACATTGTTTTGTAGGTGTTAAGGTCACCCATACGGATCGGTTGATGACCATCATGAACTTTTCAAGTAAGGGCATGACCTTGATCTGCGGTTACATTTTGAAGTTGAACTTTTTATGTGAAATGATAGGTATCATAGCTCACTCGATGCATGTTAACAAGAAAATGATGACAAAGTAAAATGTAAATGTCTCATAGTTTTTCTTACCAAAGTTCTTGCAAAAATTCTTATCAAAATTATTTTGGTAAAATGCGACTATTTAGATGGTTTTACCCTCTGCTCTGTTGCGAAACCGTTGACATGAGGCATTGAGGTCAAATCTTAAAAGCGAAAGCGTTTTGAAAGCCCTATCGAATGAGTTGTTCCGCGAAGCTCTAGCTCTTTGGTTCACGAGTTATACGGTTATTTGTTAAAAATATAAAAACAATATTTTTTTCGTCGTAATCTTGTCTTTGTGTTTATCATAATTACGGAGCGAGCGAAGCGAGCGGAGTCTTACGTAGAATAACGGAAATTTCTGAGTATGAGCGGCCGGCCGGCCGTGGTCACGATTCTGCGACGCTTATATCTCAGCAACCACTTGACCGATTTACATGCGGTAATTTTTGTAGGGTAGCTTCATTCCTTCTACCAAGTATTGGACGATTCTTGATGCATGTGGGTGACCCCTTATGCACGTGCCACGTGCAAAACGAAGAGGTGTCACTTTTGTAATAGTTGCAATATCTCGGTAACTACTGGGCCGATTGCGCTGAAAGTTAGCATGTAGGTAGGCACCCACTAGGCAATGCATATCCATGTGCCAGAGTTGGGGTGCTGCTGCACGTGCGTACGTGCAGGGGTCGTTTCCAGATCTCGAGAACGGCTGGACCGATTGCGCTCAAATTTGGTACACGGTTAGGGACCAGTTAGTAGGGTGCCGTGCACAAGTCAGTTGGGACCCATTTTGCACGTGCGCACGTGCAGGGTGCCACTTCCAGATCTCGAGAACGGCTGGTTTTATCATTAGGTATTTTATCTTCAATGACCTCAGCGATGACCCAATTAATCGAAAAAGACCTCTACGATTCTGAAGCATTCTACAGCTATCCGTTGCCTTTTCTCGTCTTTCTAGCCTTCTTAAATTTTTGTTAGATGATCGGGTTTGGCCGATACGCCCCCCCCCCCCCACCCATGGCTGATTGCGCGCGTTAGAGAGCTATCGAACCCACTTTCAGCGCGCTATAGCTTTATATGTCCTCGAATGTCGAAATAGGCGAAACTTTTCCTTCGATGAACATGACGACGTGGGCTTTGGTCTGAACTGCAACATGACTGAAGTAATATCTTCATGATTTTCAACGCTCTTTAGAAAGCTGCCTACCGCCGCGCTTGTCGCTACGTGACCCTGGAGACAGGTTAGAAGGGAATATTCAAACACCCCTCAGGGGCGTAAAACTGGAAAGCTTGGGGCCCTGCTCTGCGGGGCGCGGTCGAGCTGGGCTAGGGCCAGTTTGGGGCATTTACAAGCCCACGTAAAGCCCTCAAGAGTCTGCATAGAGTACAGGCCTTTCAAGACTTGGGGGTTTAGACATCGACAATCGACATGGTCTTTTGAGACCTGCGTGGCGGCTATCAGAGGCCGGTGGGCCCCTCAAAAGCTGGTGCAGGAGCCTCAGGTGTCAGTTTGGAGCCATCATGGACCGGTGTGGGGTCCTAATGAATACCTAGGCGTCAAACCCCTCGACGTCAGGGTGGCGCCGGGCGGTGAGGCAGGCACAGGCCTGAGGAGAAAAGGAGTTTTCAGATTTCGGCTTGGCATCTTAAGGGCCCTGCATGGCTTTCTCAGGCAGGGCCTCCTCTAACATACCCACTGGGTGGGCAAATGCCCACCCAGTCACCACAATTGCCCACCCAGTGACGTCGATTTGCCCACCCAGAAGCAAATGAAAAAATAAAGGTTGGCCGGACGTCCGGTACTACCACTTTGGTCATAGTCGTAGGAACAAGGGGGAGGGGCCATGCCCCCCCCCCCCACTTTCGGAGGTGGGGGTAGCAATGTTAACTGCCCCTCCTCCCCGCCCCACACTTTTTGCTGAGCTTTTGCGCCTGTTTGTACTACTCGGCAATCGGCATCCTGAACAGTGAACACCAAAACTTGGAGATTCTTCAGCCAGCCTTTCGAATTTCGATGAAGTGTTTTTGTATGCATCTACAGCGTTATTGAGGGGAATTTTCTTCACTCAATGAAGTAAACCATATCAGAAGTAAAAACTGGGAGCCCTGGTGGCAGCATTTCTTTGAATGCGAGGCGAGGTGTAACCGTGTATGCGAGCACTAAAGGTAGAGAACACATGGCTGACCAGGACTTCGACGATCCTGTCCAGGGGCCCGGG